CTTGGTATGTATATATTCGACAAACACAATTGTTCATTCTCATTCAACCATATATGCTACTCATGTCACTTTGATGTGCAAGCCTCAATTTATATTGTTAGTATTCGTTTTACTGTTTTTTATTTGAGTTTCTTAGAGTATATTATGCTTTTTCAAGATGAATAAAAGCAAGCATCCCAGCTTATGGATGCATGTTGTATTGGCTTCTCACATTCTAGTTTCTTCTTTGAGCACAGGTATGCCAGGACTGACAGCTTATGTAGGTTTCTTTGAAGTGGGCTCTCCCAAGAAAGGGGAGAATGTTTTTATTTCAGCTGCTTCTGGTGCTGTTGGTCAACTTGTTGGTCAGTTTGCTAAATTGACTGGTTGCTATGTGGTTGGAAGTGCTGGAAGCAAAGAGAAGGTATTCATTGAATTATTGTTATTTTATATGTATATGTTTGTCTGTTTTAAAAGTCTCTCATCAATATAAAGAAAACTTATAGTATATAAAAGATAACAAACCTCATCTTTCAAGTTGGTTTTTTAAGGTTAAGTTAGGTTTAAAGTCCAATTTTTAATGTGGTATCAAAGTCATTTACAATATCTATTAGAGATAAAAATAAATTATAATATATAAGTGGATCCAAACCCTATAACTCTTGTTTTTTAGAGTTCAGTTTTGGGATAGAGTAAATAGATACTAGTATGTTACCTGTCAGTGAAAACTTCATGTTGCAAAGTTTTGGCATTTTCCAAGATGTAGAATTAAAATATGTTGAAGATTTTTGTTTTCATGAAAGGTATCAAACAATAACCTTTTTCAAATATCAGAAGTTGCACTTATATTATAACGTTTTGTATACTTCTATAAAACTGCATCAATGTTGGTTCTTTGCTGAAGTTTGCTTACAGAAGTATCATGTTATGTATCCAATCTGCTTTACTCCAAAAATAAGCCTTAACATTTTTAAGAGAATTATGGCATACACCAGCAATAGTAGTCTGATAAAGAGGACCTGAAATGAAATCCTTTGAATTTTATTTATTTTTTTGCTCACCGACTAAATTATATAGCTCTCCTCTAATTTGAACTGTATTTTACAACCAGGTGGATCTTTTGAAGATTAAACTTGGATTTGATGGAGCTTTTAACTACAAAAAAGAGTCAGACCTCGATGCAACTTTGAAAAGGTTAGAATTCAACAGATTTTTGAAAGAGAAATTTTGAGTGAATCTATGCATTCAATAAATGTTAATGATTGCTGCATATCAATGTACACATCAGATACTTTCCAGAAGGCATTGATATTTACTTTGAGAATGTTGGAGGCAAGACACTTGATGCAGTACTCCTTAACATGAGATTCCATGGTCGCATACCTGTTTGTGGAATGATCTCGCAGTATAATCTCACACAACCCGAAGGTGTAACAAATTTGGCAAATCTAATATTTAAGCAAATTCGAATGGAAGGTTTTACTGTTGTCAAATTCTATCACCTATATTCCAAATTCTTGGAGTTTGTGCTGCCTCATATTAGAGAAGGGAAGGTTGTGTATGTGGAAGACATTGCTGAGGGTCTTGAGAATGGCCCTGCAGCCTTGGTTGGCCTCTACACTGGTCGGAATGTTGGTAAACAAGTGGTTGTTGTTGCTCGTGACTGAATGCAGATGTTTTTTTTTGGACAATGCTTAGTTTTTCTTAAGTTTTGATGAATACTAAACCTCTTTGTATCTGACTTTTTCTTAAGTTCTGTTGAATATTAAGCCTCTTTGTATGACTTTTGCAGTCATTTTGAATTGTAGTATCTACGATAGCAGTTAGTAAATGTGTGTTGAACTAATTTTCTCAATTGATATAATTCTCCAGCTAGTTAGTTGAGACGTCACGATATCAAATTTTCAGAATATAAAACTCGTTTATAATTAATTTTAGCAATAAAAAGTTACACTATCTAAGTTGAAAAGGTAGAATTTGCTATGATGGAGATATTATTTGCATAATGTTATCTCAGTATGATGCTGATTTATAATCATTCATGTTGATTATTCTGAGCAACCCTTAGAATATTTTTAGATCATGGAAATTCTCAGATCACTGGATCATCTGACGATCTGATAGTATCATATTTGTTTTTTTGTTTCTCTTTCTCTCCTTTTATATATTTGGCTGTTGTGTCAATTCTATATACATTTCCTACACATCAATACTAATATTTCTTGTTTTTCGCTTATATGTTTTCTGCTTCTTTTTTCTTTCTTCTTGTTTCTTTGTTAGATATTGAATATAATCTAGGACTTCTTTTTTTCTTCATTCCATTAAACCATCTTATTTCAACTACTGTTGAAAAATTATTATGACTGCAAACTGTAGTAATTGGATGCTTCTCCACTGTTTTTTGCACTATTTCATTATGAATAAAGATTGCATACTGATAATTCCAAAAATCATGTATGCTTATTACTTTTGGGAATATTAGTAAATGCATAAATATTTACAAAGGCATAGAAGTAGAAAAAAACTTAACATTATTTGCAAAAGGTTTGAACCAGTATCTGTATTTGCATTTTACTTTAGTTAAAGGAAATGCACTTTTAACAATGCATGTAATGGCATGGGAGGAGGAAGTGAAAATGGAGAAGATGAATTTAACTATATTTAGTTGACTGAAAGGGAACAGGAGAAAAAGAATTAAAAAAGGTAAATGGCTCTACTCAAATAATTTGCATTATTTTTTATTTTTTTCTAATTTCTAATGAAATATTTTTGTTTTAATTTATTTTTAACATTTTCATTTACCTTTTTCTATTTCCATTTACTCTATTTTTTTTTCTGCATTTAATAAATAGACATTCCAATTTTATATAAAGAAAAGAAAACCATTAGAAAAGTTGTATTATGCTAAAGGTATTCCGGACTAACCAGAATTACTTTAGATAGAAGACAGCTGGTTCTGGAAAAGAAAAAGAGTTAATAATGTATTTTTAAAAATTTCCTTTCTTTATTTTCAAAAAAAAAAACATCAAATGTACTGTTAAAGAAACATTGATAAATTCTACACAAACAACTGTTGTGTACATCGATGTAAATAAAGAGCACAAACATTTTACACAAAACTTGTACGAAAGGTCAACATAAGAAAAGTGTACCAATGAAAGAATAACCTATGATGGAGTGCATGGTCTCTCTGTCCCAAAGGAGTCTCACTCTTAAACTCCTAATTTCCAACTCTCCATTGTTAAGATAAAAGCTTGAAAGAGAGAGCAAGCTTGGTTGAGATGTTTGGTATTGGTGTTTTCCTGCAAAAAAGAATAACTTTTGTTGGAAGTTACCTCAAACCAAGGTAGCACATTCTGAGAAAACAAAGAAATGTTTGGTATCACATCACGGCTGGGACAAATATTCTTGAAGTTACTAGGTATGTGTTATTGCTTACCGATATCCTCTGTGCTATGTTTGTCAATAATACATACATATCTTCAAGTATTCATGTTAAGATTTCATGCATTTTGTTTTGTTTTAAACCTGAATATAACTTGGATCCATTGCTTATGCTTTCCTTTTCAATTATCCATTTCTTGTCACCTTCAACTCTGTTGCTTCCATTTTCTGATTTTCACTTCCTGCACCCTTTTCATCCCCCCACTTTTTTCATTTCTTCCCAACTTCAGGTACAGATTCTCTACAGTTTAATTTTAACTGCAAAGACCCTTTAAAATATGCTCTTTTTATTCACAGTTGATATCTTCATGAATTACAGGTCAATTTTAAGCTCTACTGGATCTAATTCTGTTTAGAAAGTATCATGATGACCATGTTATTGATAATCAATGTCATGAAAAGTATATATATATATACACACACATATATGTATAGAGAGAGAGAGGGAGGGAGGGAGGAATGCATAGATCTGTGTCATACAACCATGCGTGAATTATCAATATTAAAAGTCATTTATTGGTCATATGAAAGTTGGATGCATCTTTCTATTAATCTTGGTTGTTTAATATGATTCAATGGTCCGTATTTATAGTTTTCAAGTCTCACAATAAGAAGTATTCCCATTTTATACACATTGAATTACCAGTCTGAGCTTAAAAAGTATGAAATTTGGGGAAACTGGAGTTTAGTGATGGAATTATGGTTTCAAGTAGAGTGTGGATTAAAATTGAATGTGCTCAAAGTAATAATAAGAGTGATCTTCAATTTTGTATCTTTTATTTCTGCTGGAGAATGAGCTCTGAGTTCGCTTTTAAATTGGGAAGTTGTGTAAATCCCTTTACAGGGTTTGCTTCTTTATTGAACCATGTTTTGGATTTGTTTGATGTTTTTCTCTTGAGATAAATAGTAGCCAGTTTCTTCATTTATCTCTCCACTTCCATGTATACAGCAAACCCTGTGATTTAAGCTTGGAGTTGAATTTGGCTTCTCAGTCTTTGAGAAATCTACAGTTGAAATTCCAGCATATGTATCATTTGGTTTGCTATGGAAGGTTAATTTTGTCAATTATGATTGAGACTACTTGGTTTATCCTCTGAAATATGTTGAGAAGCAAATCCCTTAGAAATTGATTACTTCAAATTTGCATCTGTTTAGAGTAACCCTTAAATTATCAATCTTAGTGTTAAGCATAATTGGTACTT